CCCCGCCGCCCCCGCAACAAAAGAGGGGGGGGGGGGGGGGGAGGGGAATGTGTAGAGGAACCTGCAAAATTAAACAAGCTGCACGCCTCCCACTTCTTGCCATAAATTTGGTAGGTCCCTACACATAAATTAGAGCAGGAGTGCATAACCTCTGGCCAATGAACCAAATGCGACCCATGGAGGCATCACATCTGACCCACAGGGCTCCCCACATGTCAGGGAATTTGGTGGTGGGGGAGCAGTGCCCATGGGGCCAGGTCAAGCCCCTTCTGACTCCTGTGGGGCTGGGCTTAGGCCAGGCTGCCCCCCAACCCCCTCCAGTCCATGATCAGACAAGGCAGTGCTCACCCAGCCCAATGTGGAGAAAGGTTGAGCACCAGTGAATTACAGCAGCACTCAAGAAGCTCTTAATCAGTGGTGCTCAACCTTTTTGGCCCACAAGCCAGATAACCAGTGTCAGATCCATCTGCTGGCCAGATTCAGTCCATGGGCCTGATCCAATTTATGGTGCTGAGCCAGTGGTGGCCCAATCCTTTGCAGCTACATCAGTCCTAGCTGGGCTATTCCTCAGTGTATGCATTGGGCCCTGGCTCAATCCAGGTGCATGGGTATGAGGATAGATCCCTCTGCATTTGGCCAGCTTGGCTAGGGCCAATCCAGTTGTCTGGGGGCTTGGAAATTTGGTGGCAAGAGAGCAGTGGCAGTGTTAATTGCTAAACTAATACCAGGGGCAAAGCTGAACTTACTGCAAAATCAAAGAGCTCTCTCTCTATATATATATATACAGGGAGAGAGAGAGAGCATAAAGTTTTTTCTTTATGCTTTCTGACTCTGTATATATAGAAAATCTGACTCTGTATATATAGAGAGAAAGCATAAAATTTTTTCTTTATATATATATAGAGAGAGAGAGAGAGAGAGAGAGAGAGAGAGAGTCAGATGTTCTATATATACAGAGGGTCAGAAAACATAAAGAAAAAACTAAAGCTCTTTGATTTTGCAGTAAGTTCAGCTTTGCCCCTGGTACTAGTTTAGAGCAGGAGTGCTCAACCCCCAGGTGCAGGTCAGATCCAGCTTGCGGGTCTTCTCATAAGTCCAGAACTTTGGTGGTGGGGGACTGGTGGCAATTCACACTGCCACTGCTCCCCTGCCACCAAATTTTCAAGCCCCCAGACAACTGGATTGGCCCTAGCCGAGCTGGCCCAATGCAGAGGGATCCAGCCTCATACCCATGCACCTGGATTGAGCCAGGGCCCAATGCATACACTGAGGAATAGCCCAGCTAGGACTAATGCAGCTGTAAAGGACTGGGCCACCGCTGGCTCAGCACCATGCATGGCACTATATATATATATCTATATATATAGATATATATATATATCTATATATATATATAGAGAGAGAGAGAGAGAGAGAGAGAGAGACACGCACACACACACATATATATAGAGAGAGAAAGAGAGTCAGGGCTTCAAAAGAAGGTTTGACATATTGATGAGCAATTCAAAGTTCATATAGATATAGATACAGATGTATATAAATAGATATAGATATCTCTCTATATAGGTATATATAGAGAGAGATATCTATATGAACTTTAAATTGGTCATGGGAAGTGCTGAATATCCTTAATTCCTAAAGGGAGAAGAGAGTGAGAAGTGTTGAGTGTTCAGGACTTCCTTGTTCAAACTTGGAGACTGCAAAACATTTTGAGATCTTCAGTATGTAAGGGGCTGTATAAAAAACAAAATATTTATGAGTAGCTAGTAGCTACATATGGCTAGTGTGTGAGAGTGTTAACAGCTGTCAAGTTGTACACTAGATATCCAAACATTCTTGAGCTAATATTCAGCACAAAGGCATGATAGTAGTTGCAATTATAGAGCAATACTTTGGCATTGCTTCTAAAAAGTAAATTAAAAATACTTTTAAATGTACAAAGTTAGAGTAGGATTTATTAATAAAGATGTCATTTATTCATAAAACTACTCTTCTACTCTACCAACATACTGCACTTTGGGTAAACTTACGTAAGTTAGTACACCCTCAGCCATTCTTTTACAATCACCACTAAACATTTAGTGAACACGTATAAAAACAAACAGTTTACATCCTACACTTGGTTTTTTTTCCATTCCAGGACAAAAGAAGGAGCAAATTAAGTTTCTGGGGCACTGTAAGCTAGGTAGTATTAAAATGAGTGATGAAAGATAGCATGGTTGTTGAGGGACTGACTGGATTTGATTTTTAAAGTCTAGAATTTTAGCAAAGGAAGTTTCAAGTCAGTTCTGGGTGGAAGCTGGGATTCAATGAAACAGGACTTTCAGTTTTAACCATTGTTCTCAGGTCCTGTGGCTCTGATTACATTTGGAGGTGCAATATTAAGCCATGTTGTGGTCTTAGCTATATCTTAGTTGCTCCTTAAGCTTTCTCTACTGTTTTCACCAGCTTATTTGTGTGTTTGCAAAAGCAATGACAGTAGCGGCAGTATACCTCAGGCAAATGAACCAATGTGTCTATCAATATTTGGGTAACTGGCTTGTAAAGGGATCACTAGAACAATATGCCCTACAGTAACTGAAGGCACAGCATACATTTAGCCAACTTAGGATTCACTGTGCATTACTGAAAGTGTTGAGTAAATTCAGCACTACAATATATGTACACACTAAGACTAGAAGTGTCTGGAATATTTTTGACTGAATAGAGTTTTTTCAGAGCCAAAACATTTAGTGGGAGACACTTCATTTGTTTTTGCTGAAACCTTCATTAGGAAGCCTTTTTGCATCTATGGTTCTCTCGCCCAGTTGTTCTCAACCTTTTTTGTACCAGGACCCACTTGTAAATATCAATAGCCAGTCCCAACATAGTGCCCCTCACTCCCAACTCGCTGCCCGCTGCCCCGAGGTCCCAGTGTGTGGGGCAGGGGGTGGGTGTGCAGGGTAGGGTGGGTTAGGAATGGGGCAGGGGGGACCCCAAGCAGCCCCTTGCAGGCTGGAACTCTGCCATCCTGCAAGGGAAAAGCCAGTTTCACAAGTTTTTCTTCTTTAAAGGAGAATCCACATTTTAAAAGTTTGTTCACAATCCTTTCATATATTCTTGAGACCTACTTTTGGGTCGCAATGCACAGGTTGAGAAACACCACTCTAGCCCAATGTGAACAGCTAAAGAGAGTGTTAAACTCTACAGCCTTCTGGATAGAGTGCTCACAAGAGACATGGAAGAGCCATGTTCAAGGACCTGCTCTGCCTGATTCAGAGCTAAATTTTTCATCCCAGATTACTCTGGATTAGATAGAGAAGACACAAACCTGAGTCTCTAACAGCCCATCCCAGTGTCCTAACCACCAGGCTACCGAGTGTGAGGCAAAGTAGAGAGTCTCTCTCTTTGCACCCCTCAAAACCAGAAATTAAATCATATGAAAACATTTGAAAGATTTTATTTTCATTTTTATTTCAAATCAAGAGAACCAAATGCCAGATCTTAAAAAGATGCTGTATTGTTATCTTCCAAATATCTCTCAGTTAAGAGACATTTCTGGAAACACCTAGAAAAGTTGTTGCCCACATCACTCCAATTGCAAAACCCTGCAAGAAAATGTAGCAGAGTTCAAAGCATAGCTATGCTGTCAGGCTCATTTATGATATGTTACTGAAGGCTATGGACAAACATTAATAGTATCTGGATCCAGTACTCTCCAGTACTACTTAATTATTCCTACTGTAAAAATGGTAGTTTAGTTGGGAGTTTCAGTTAAAAAGCAGGACCTGTCATCAGTAAGATCAGAGAAGATCAATGGAAAAATTCCATTAAATAGACCTTCTCCTCATCTTCCTTAAAATACACACTCCTGACAAATATCTTCCTATAAGGCTACCTATATAATCTATAAAATCTGTCTTTATCACAATGTAACCACATCACTTTTCTCCTGCTCACAGAATGAAGGCCACAGAAAAAACCCTTCAGGGAATTCCAGCTTCTTAAAGCAAACTTGTCAGTTTTAATTAAAGTATGGTGGCTCTATAATACATAAACAATCAGACAGCAACCAAAACTAGATCTGTTCTGATGTTGACAATTTCCATGTGATAATCCACAGGGGCATACACACAGTATATTCAAACTGATATATTCTGTAGACATATGTTACATGTGACAATGATGGTCATCTAAAAACACTTTAGAAAGATAACTAATGATAGACAGTTCCCAAAACAAAGCATTTTATCATGTCTGTGCTTGAAAGAGAACCACATTCATTTTTATCAGGGTATAGCTGTAAGATACATATACATATACATGACATAAATATATACTTTATACACATAACAGTTCATGCAAATCTGTGAATACTATTTGGGTAATGATGCGACATATACCACACAGATTCCATTATGGGCTTTTCTCATGACCATATTTGGGTCAGTCTTGTTAATACTTCCTTTTCCTAAACTAAACACTGCATATTTGGAGAATGGAAATCTTACCTTGCTTCCATTTTCTCTTGCCTCTTGTTCCATCTTGAGGTCAGAAATTAGGAGGTTCTTGTATTTGTTCTTTCCATTACTGTTGTGATCATCTAGTCTGTATTCTGAAGTCAGCTGAGCAGAGAGGGGACTATCACTCAGGTTCAGAGGCTGCTCATCCTGCTCCAGATTTGTTTTGCCATTACTGTTGGTTTCTGCCATCTCCCTGCAGTGTATTCCTTCTGAAGCATTGGAACTGTGTCCCACGGTCTCATTGCCATTAAAACTCTCTGCAGCTGAATCATCTATTAAAAATATATATATTTTCAGTAACATGCCACCATTGTTATCTTGTACCAAATCAAACAGAATTTATACATTTTCCAATAGCAAAATTAAAATGGTTTAAAAGATTACTAGCCCCAAATGTGTTTTTACAACACGCAAATAAAAATGTTCAAGAAAGATTGGGGCAAAATATGATAAAATGATAGTCTAAGTTATGGTAAAAGTTAAAGGCTGACAAAGTTATGGAAAAAGTTAAAGGCTCATGTCCTAATACAATTGTGAGTACCTCCCTCCCTCCGAACCCCCCCCCCGCCAAAAACAACAAAAAAACCCAACAGTATGTCATATTGGAATTTTGGGCACAAATTCTATTCTTATCCATCTGTCAGTCCATATGTCCATCCATCCAAGTCCATCACTAGTATCACATATTTTTTAAACCAATGCAGTTGCATGTGGTGCTGGAGCAGAATCTGACTCAGTTCTGAAGGATGTGGAAAATGTACAATAAACCAGATGTTTAAAAGCAACATAAAAATTAGCCCATTTAAAAAACCCCATCAATTATAAAAAATTCTTAGTGCCCTGCCATCAGTTAATCTGGTGTATTCATTGCTAGCATTGGAAATTATTCTGGGAAAGCTGAATTCTGAGACCAAAGATTCTTTCCTTGTTCTCAAATTATATATGTGACACTCAGGGTCGGGGTCAGAGATGGAGCTGCAGCCTCTGCTCTCCTGCCTGATTCTGGTGCCGCCTCTGCCTACTGCTGCCTTCACACCACACTCCACATAGTCTCCACCATGACTCCAGATGTGGCTCCAACTCCAGCCCAAGGCATGGAGCCCCCACCTGGTCATGCAGCAGTGGCAGCAGCTCTGGCCCTGGCTCTAAACTGAGGCCAGGGCCAGAGCTGCCCCTGCAACTACTGCTGCCTAGCCAGGTTGGGACCAAAGGAACTATGTTCTCTGTGACCTGGGCCAGAGAAAAGCTGGATCCAGAGCCTCAACAAAGGCTAGGTGGCAGCAGAGGGTGGGGCAGCCAGCGGTGGGGGGGCAGTCTTTTAAGTGGGTAGTTTGGTGGGGAGTAGATGCAGGAGGGGCAAGCAGAAGCAGGGCAAGTGCTTGGGGGTGCAGGCACCATGAGGAGGGGTGGGGCATGCAGGGGCAGGGGGAAGGCAGCAAGGGGGACAAGTGGTAGGGGGACATGCAGCATGGGGCGGGGGCAGGCTACTTGACTCGCCCACTGTCTACCCCCTTGCTGCTGCTTTTTCTTCTGCAGCAGTGGGGAAGATGAATTTAAGATGATCTTCCAATTATTATATTATATTAATGAAAAATTATAATACATTTATAAACTTTCCATGTACAGAATCTAATTTTTGGGGGGTCATCTTAAATTCAAAGTTGTCTTGGATTCTAGTAAACAAAGTATTTCACATATGCATGAGCATGTGTAAAATGGATTTGTTTTAATATTCAGGACATTTTTTAAAGCATGCATTATCAGACAATGTAATTGTTTGAAATTAGTCTGTTAAAAAAAAGATATTATGTCTCTTTGTCATTGGTTTAATGGTTACCTAACTTCCTTCTACCTCCAGATCAAGGATATAAAGGAATTAAATAATATGCTGTATAAGACAAAAGTAATCAGATATAATTAAGCAATCCAATATTTAGAGAGGAATATGAAGATTCTTTCAGAATCATATACATGAAACCAATATATATCCCTGCCCTGATTTCTGTACTTATCCAATACAGGTTCTTGTTTAAATAAAGCAAGTAGGATGTGGCTCATGTTCTGCATATACAAATTTGTTTTATGATTCCTGAAAAGATATACAAGTTCATGGACACATACAATAGTGATAATATTTTTTTAATGCTTTACATTAAGGTATATAATGGAATACTTTATTAGCAACAGCTGTTAATGTGTTAGTTTCTAAAACACGTCATCACTTTCCTCATAAATGAACATATAAAACTACTAAATAGGTACTTGACAGCCTTTGGTTGGACACGTGCCTACTGTGCAGAAATAAATATTTTAAACATTTCAAAATACAACTCTAGAAATAAGCAGTTTCATCACATTATGAAAAAAGAAATCCATATGTCACCTTCTAGCACAGGGGTGGGCAATTATTTTGAGCGGAGGGCTGCTTACTAAGTTTTGGCAAGCCATCGAGAGCTGCATGACAGGCAGCCAAGGACAGATAAATATTATTTTCTAAATTTTTTAGGGGCCCTACGGGCTGTATAGTGTGGCCTAGCAGGTCGCATTTTGCCCACCCCTGTTCTAGCACAATACCTTCTCCAGAATGCATATTGTTCTCAGTAAATAGTTATATTTACAACTCTTTCCAAAAAAGGCCTTATAGTAAAGCATAAGAAAGAAATATTCAACAATTACTTTAAGAAAAGTACAAATGCAATAAACAGACAATTTAACATATATATTTGATATTTTTACAAAAAGAGACTACAAAATGAATAGTAGACATTTCTGTGCCATTTTCTTTTTAAAATTCCTCTGGTTAAAAAATGTGCTCAAATGCTCTGCAACTTTTAAACAGAAGGTCAAGTGACATCAACATAACCTGGACTGCCCTTAAATAGTAATTCAGTTACTAAATGGTAAACCTCTGTTTCTATTGTAAAGTCAAACACAACAAATATAACAACCCTTTTCCCACCTTTCTCACTAGAAGGAAAAACTATTCTCTATCAGAAAAATATTCAGAAACTGTCGCAGCCTGCAGATGTTTGTGGGGGTGGTGGGGGGGAATGGGGCACTTTACTTTAAACTTTGCATGCTCCTGCACTGAGCTCACAGCATGCTCAGAAGAGGCAGCATATTAGCTGCACCTGACTTCCCCAACATTTGTAGAGATCGGGCGCTTTAGTGAGGTTTTTTTAGTGCTTTTATCTAATTTGGCACTAATTATCTATTCAATTATCTGACTGAATCAGCTTTAGCTAAAAACACCAACAAGCTCCACTGAAACATGTGATCTATACAGATGTTGAGGAGCTGGGTTGAAATAATGCACTGCTGCTTCCAGTGGAGTGCATTTTCTTCTATGTCTGACAGCATCTTGTAAGCTCATTTTTGTGAAGTAAAAGATGTATTACCAAAAGGCAGTCAGAAAAATACAGTATTTTAGTACTGATTTCTGCTTATAGATGTTACTACAGTAACTAAATTTAACCTCTTAGCACATTTCATTCTTGATTTACTTTGCAGAGAATAAAATAACAGTTTACAGTTGTTTTGTAACTGAAATTACAAGGCTTCCAGACCCTTACTCAAGCGAGTAGGCCTTACTCATATACATAACCATTTGACTTAAGAAGACTGTTATGGAGCCTGACCTAAAAGATGAAGCATACTTCCATGGTCTCTACTGCCATGGTCCTGATAACTTCTTCTTCTTTTCCTGTCTGTTGTGCTGTGCTTTGTGCCCTCAGGGTGGTTCACCATGTGCTTAGATCTAGAGTTTGTGACTGTACCTGGCCAACATACAGGAGGAGGGAGAAGCAGACAACTTGCACTCTGTGTCTTGACCGTTCCAAGAAAAGCTTGTCACAATCTAGTCCTTAGATTATAAAATCTCTCTGGAACTGAAAATGTATCTTCTTTTATTTTTGAAGCATCCAGATTAAGGTTCCTTCCACACAAAGCACGGTCAAGGTAATTTTAATAGTTGTACTGGCATGTTTTTCTAATGCTTATGTATCATAACCCCATCAAGCAATAGATTGACATGCAAAATCTGTTTTCTTACCAAATATTTTCCCTCCATCATCCAGAGACACTGGTTTGTTACTGAACAGTTGATAACAAGTTCAGAAATAGAGATATACGTTGGATCCTAATATGTATATATGTGGGCCTGACACATCTTGTGCACATAGACAATTAGGTTTCAAATACACTCATGCTGCTATCTGTGAATATTTCTACTGGACAGTTTACAGTGATTTATTTTTAGAAATACACAGCGCTGAAGCTTTTCTACAAGGAGAAAAAAAGAAGTTGAAAAAATATGATCATCCAGGGCCCTTAGCAACATAGAGAACGTGGGTTGTTGTAGCAACCAACAGGAAGATTGTGCTCACTCGCTTGCTCACTCATAGATGATGATGTCAGGATGGCAGTTGAGTTTTTGGTTTGTGCTATGACTTAGTTACTTCTTTGACAATCTGTCCCTGTTGGGTCCACCCCTGTGTATATGTGCCCTGGCACTTTTAACAGCTGTATCTGCTGTATCTGTTGGAGCCACACACACCCCTCAGGAAAGGTCTCTACGCTGGCGTTGCAGATTCCTTCAGATCAGTCAGCACCTCCTGTGGTCTGTCAAAAAGCCTGGGGTTTGGTATTGATTTCCCTCATACGAACCATCAAAGCAGCAGCTACCAATGCCTAAATATGAGTACTGCAGTTAAATGGCCTTGGTACCAACTCTTCACTAATCACTGACTCAGGGCAACAGACTACAGTACAAGCAGTACTGGGCCATCTGCACTGTCTGGCTTGAAAGTGACTAGAACTGGGGTGGGCAATTATTTTGGCTCTAGGGCCACTTAACAAGTTTTGGTGAGCCGTTGAAGGCTGCAAGGGTAGCCCCGCCCCTTGGCAGGTCCCCTGTCCCCTGGTTGGCATCTTGGGACTGGAAGTCCCGCCCCTAACTCCTGATCTTTGCCAGCAGAAGTCCCTCCCCTTGCCTTGGGAGTACTTTTTTTGGAAGATGGGCTTGCCATTTTGAAACCAGAAAAAAAACAAGCAATGTACTAAAAAAATCAAACATCTACTATAACTTATTTTAAATTCATTTAAAAAATATTTTTATCCTGATTGATGTGTGTTTTCATGGTGTATCTAGAGGCAATTGCATAATAGCTCAAAATACAGTCTTACTCTTCTATATTGTGTATAGGAGGGAAA